TTTTTTTTTTTTTTTGCAAAACAACCAATGTCACTATTATTTAATATATTCAGATATTACTTATGCTGTGAACATTTTTTTTTCACAAATAAAAGTGGTGTTTGTAAAGGTTTTTTAGAAAGGCTATTCTGATGATGGAGTTACATGCTTTTAGTAGTAAAATCTGACAGGAAGATTGAATGGTGTTTTGTCAGGTGGTAATCCTAAAAAATAAGAGATTTTGCTAATAGTGACACATTTCATTTTGGTTTGTCAATAAATCTACAATTTTTTTTATCATCTGACAACAGGCTCATCAAAGTGCTACCTACAGCAGTTTGTGAGATTTTTCACAAGAGGTACTAAAGATGTGGATCAAGCAAACTGCCTTATATTTACCATGATGACTGACACACCAACTTTGATTACTACAACTCAAGTACTAACAGGCTTAGTGCTGAATTTTAATCATCACAGGGAAAAGCACGGAAAACAGATTAACTAATCCGACTGTATCACTTCAAAATCTGAGAATCTAACACCATCTCTGCAAAGTTCGTACAGAAAAATTAATTCGATTGATAAGTTTTCTATCAACTTTTATATGCTTTACTGCAAATATTGATGGATTTATACATGAAGTTTTAATGAAGACTCAAGTTTATTGGCATTTTGGAATCTGCATTGTGAGAGACAACAGGGTACTTAATATGTAAGTTGTATTTTTATTGGTTTGTATTCAACTCAAATAGATAGATTTATATAAATCTTAAGGAGGAAAAACCTCATTTCAAAGAACTGAAAATCAAATGAAGCCAACAGATTACAGTACGTTTTGAAAGAAATATCACCATATTTGGTGCAATTTCTTAAAGTCTTAAAACAGTAGAGAATGTAATGCTGGTTTTGAAAAGCATCATAAATCACACTTTATATAAAGGTCAACATTTGTGAGTGAATTTGTGCGCCAAAAGTAAGCCATCTGGTTTCTAAAAAATCATCATCTTTTCATCTCTCTTGATTCATCAGCATCATCAATTTTCACAGTGTCACACTGGAATATTGCAGGGGAAAAACTGGCAGAAGATGTAATCTTGGACATGATACAACCCGGCATAATTAACTTGGAACGTTAAATCATTGGACAGATGGACTTGATGCTACGAAAAACAAACGAAGAGAATTCACTGAAGCCGATAAAAAAAGTATGCAAGTATTTTTGAGCATTAAACTTGGATAATCTAACATTACATATATCAGCTCTAAATTTGGAAATATTTTGAAATTGAGTATTCTCGTTAGTTATACTTTCACTTTCTCTGGAGAAATCATTGTAGAATTCAAAACAGCACGTCCAACAGAGTCAAGTTTTCACCGCTGGCATTTTATTAATATTTGACAGATTAGAATATTAGCTACTGTAGTTTGTAAGAAGATGAAAACAGGAAAAATGTTTAATAAAATAGCAAACAAATTGTTTGTAACAAAACTCAAGATTTTTCTAATAATTCTTGTTAGCTATTTAATTTGCGTATCATCAGGACAAGAGCCTACAATACAAACCAAACCGCAAGCGTTAACCGTGGCAACAGAAGGCCAATCTCTCACACTTTACTGTAATATCCAAAACCTAGGTACATATAACGTATCATGGATGTGTAACGAGACCAGACTGTCTAAAAATAAGCAAGTACTTGTTGAATCATCTCATTATGATATCTTGGAAGAAGATAATGGTGGCTTTCACCTCAGAATCAAAGACATTAAACGCTCGGACAAAGATTGCAATTATAAATGTGCAATATACAACAATGATATTTTTGTTAAATCCCACCAATTTCCAGCTAAGATAAAGGTTTCAGAGATCCCACAGACTAAATACCCTATATGCGACCCTTTGGAAAATGGATACAATGAAAACACGACGATAGAAGTCAGATGCAGAGGTGAGCGTGTTAACCCAAGAGTTATAATTACATGGATGAAAAATGGAAAAAACGTAAAGTCAGAATCTAGCGTAAAAAACGGAGAGGAGATTGTTACGTACTCGTTCAAGGCACAGCAAAGTGATAGCAGTGCATCTTTAAAGTGCACAATGCATGTGGTTCCAACAGGGAAAACGCTGCACTGTACTCCGGGACAATTGAATATTAGGTACAAACCAAATATAACAATACATGAGCCCGAGAGTGTATCAGCAGGAAAAGAAGCTGTGTACATTTGCCGGGCTACTGCCAATCCAAAGATCACCGGTTACAAGTGGAATGTCCCGGCAAATTTAAAGAACAAAGATTACAAATCTGATCGTGGGATTCTGCGTATTACACCTACCCTAAAGGACAACCTGACAAAAATCTCCTGCACAGCTAGCAACCAAATTGGTAATGTTACAAGAACCATTACACTTCGACTTCTGAAGTCAAACGTAACTATGAAAGTACCAGTGGTAAATCCAAGTGTTACCCATAGGAATAATGACAATAGTACAATTTCATTGTTTGCAATTGTTCTAGTAGCAGTTGGTTGCTCCAGTCTAATTCTTCTGTTGATGGTCATACCTGTGTGTTACTATTATACATGTCAACGTCATGAAGAGGGCCTGTACATGCCTCGCATGCCCCCAATAATGGTTCAACCTGACGTTTACTCTGAGCCAAAAGACATGGCATTTTCAGACCCCAATCAAAACAGAACACTTCCTTTGCTTCCGTCGGGTACAATGCACGGAAAATGGAAACGGTCGGTTGGTGTTCAAGTACCGACAGAAATAGAAATTGAAGAAATGTATGCCCATGTGGAAGGAGAGGCTGCAGCAATGAAACTAAATGCATCTAGGGTCAGGTCAACTAAGTCAGAATACGTTTAACTACTGTAGACAAAAAACAATTTACGCAAAAAATGTACAAAAAATACTTGCATTTACAGTAATGTACACAATGTTTATGACATCAAAATAAATTTGTTTTTAAGTACTACCTTAAGCTCTGTCCCGACTATCAAATTTTTTTTCGACCAAAAAACTGTTATATGCCCATATATAGTCATGATGTGTCTATATATGGTGATGATGTGATGTCATCATGACCATATTTAGGCATGTCACATGTTTTTGTCAAACAAAATTTTATAGTCTGGACAGGGCCTTACAATTTAAATAATGTTACTATTTTGATGATCATGTTACGATGAAATATTCTGTGGCATTCCATAATTAGAATTTTGAAAATCTTTTTTTTTTTTCAATTAGAGTGAAAATTTTATATAAAATTATTAAGGGACACTGTAAATGACACAATAAGTGCCGCAGCACATGATTTTTGGACGCTTTAGTGCCGAACTTATTCCATTCAAATAAATTACTGGAGTATTGAAATTGTACCGTGTGTCGTACATAGGATTATCTAACCTCTTGTTTTGTCATTAATTTCATGAGAAATTAGTTGTTTAATAACTTCTTGATAGTACAGAAAATCAAGGCAAGTTGTGTATACTCTTGATTAAGCACTGCAACGTTTACTTAAAATAGAATTCTGTAATGTAATAAGCGTTAATGTGCCTTTTTTGAGAGTGGAGGTTAAAAAAATCATGTTTGATCAAGGACTTTTATCTTTATAAAAGTCCTTGGTTTGATGCTGAGCACATTCATGAGTGGCACATAAATCGATGGAGGTGCTTATTAGATCATTTTAAAGTGTTGAATCTTCACAATTGGATAATTTGATACAATTGAAGTTTAAATTGAAAAATTTAAACTACAATGTTTGTAATTTCATGGTTGAATGCATTCATTGTGCTCAATGCAAATGAATTCTGAAATGTTGTAACAAAACATATGCATTATGTGGTAGCATATGGTTCGATGGCAAGGCACCTAGCTTCCAATATTATGAAGGCTGGTTCAATTCCTAAGCTGAACACATTTTTGTCCTTAAGACAAATCACTTGTAACTTATCCTGTCTTTGATCACATATAAGGGCACATGGTAGGATAAATACGGTAATGGTGTAATGCACTATATGAATACTCGCCATGAAGCGATGGAAGTTTTACATTGTGTAATGTGTATATATCTAATATCCAATAGTAATACAGTAATATATTTTGAGATTTCCTGATTGGAATGAATACAAAATATCAAATTTCAAAATCCAATTCAAATTTGATACTAATTACTAAAAACACTGAATAATTTTTATTATTTATATTTAAATTTAATTAATATATTTGTTTAATCAAACGTGTATATAACTTTATGTAGCAAACATTGTGTCCTCATCCAGAATTTATGGATGAAAATTCTTAAGAGTCCATTGACCCTAATGATTTAATGCTTCTCTAGAAGTCAATTAGTGATCTAAATATAGACCCAATTCTCTATCCTCACCCACAAAAGCTAGAATGTACACAGAGAAAGTGTCTCATGCATTGTCCAGTTATATACACATTACTGTAATATATACACACACACACACATAGGTGCTAATAATTGCTTTACCAGTGTGTTTGTATTTCTACAGAATATGCTTAACTTTTAATATAATTTCTTTTTATACTTGGCCACATCACTAGTGTTTCAGTCACAACTAACTGTGTATAGCTGTTTCTTTTTGTGAGAACAATTTTGTTATTTGAAGTAGTTTTTTTATTTCTGTCAATAATTCATATTTCTTTCTCTATGTAACAATAAAATAGGAATAATAAAAACATGTGCATATGGTTATTATTTATGAGTGTCACTACAAATCTTCAGTCTAGAGCATAAAAATTACATTACTGATACTTGTTACTGACAATAAAGCATAAAAACAGAGTACAGTATAGTATTGTCTGAGACCTACAAGCTTTTCTAGCTAGTGTGTTTCAGTCAGTTGTAGGAGAAAAAAATGCCTGGGGGTTAGATTTTCGTCTATAGCCTATTGGTCTCTGTGGTCTAATGGGTATGATACTTGCTCTGACAGTGAAAGGTTGCAGATTTTGAACAGAGACACTTTTTTTTTCATACAACTGAAATAGGAGTTTATCATTGATGAGCTTATGCTTGATACAATTTTTACAGCATGTTAATACTATTAGAGAACTGTTATTATTACAGTATATTTACCTATCTATTGATATACAACCAAAGTGAAATAGTGGTTGCAGTTTTGTGGTTAAGTCTTCAATTTTTACTTAACAAACTGGACCCAGAATAATATGATTACTGATTATAAAATTGCATATAGTTTATTCTTTGCGATAGCCTAATATCGTATAACAAAATCATCAGTTTAAATAAATAACAAATTAATGGATGAAGAATGAATGAATGCAAAAACTCAGGCATGCATGAAAAAAAACTTTATTAATAAATCATTAAAAATTAATAAATTAAAAAGAAAAGCCACACATACAAACTTGTGCACTAGTTGCATTTCATATTGGGCTGCATGAACAGAAGCCTTCGGCATTGCAGTTTGCCCATTAATGGAAGAAGAAACAAATCTGAAAATAGCTTACTGTTAAATACCATGCTGATTTCATTTGACTTGCCTTATGCACACAAAATTAATTGATAAGATTTATTTCTTCTCACAATCATTAACTACTCCAACTATTTAATGCTCCTTACCAATGAAAAATGGAAGTTTGGATTAAATGCATTAAATATACAATAGATGCAATAATACCAACTTGATATCAATGGAATTCTTTATGGATTGGTCAGTTGGCCGGTTGGTTGGTTTGGGAGGGTGGGTGCAGTTGTGTATTTAAGGGGGAACGTGTGATTTAAGGGGGAATGAGTGATTATTACATGATTGTTTGATTAAACTGATTGATTAATTGATTAATCATACTGATAGATTGATTAAATTATTTGAATGATTGATTGGGGATTGGATGATATATTTCTTTCATAATTTTGAGGATAGAGTTTTCAGAATTTTTCAACAGTGTTATATCTTTAAATCCTTAAATAAACTGTATTTAACACAAAATAGGCAGTTGATATCACAGAAAATAAAAAAACACAGAGCTCTGAATTTTCACATTTTAACAGGAGTGTGAGTGAAACACTAAAGGAATAAATAGTTTGACAGAGCTAAGTGTTAGTTTTTATAGAAGTACTGTGAATTCTACTATCACCTGCGAAGATTTTCAAAATTCTTTGTAGACAGTTCCTTGCTGAAAATAAATGTGCTCAGATATTGAATATCTGCACTTTAATGGAATATTAAATCTAATGGTTATCAGTGGATGCAAAACTTCCATTTTCGATAACAACTTGGTCCCCAGAGGAACCGCACATTAGCACTCAGTAACCATGTTTGTAATGAGATGAATGTCTTGGGGAAACACTTCTAAAGTTTGATAGATGGTCTGACACTATACTCACTACTTTGATTGTGCAAATCATAAATTCATTTCAAAGATTACGTATTAAAACAATCTCAAATATGCTCTCCAAACAGACCTAGTTTTCCTGTCCTCTATCTTGTGAAGTGAATCAGTAAATCAGAATGTTTAGGCACAGAATAAATTAAATAATCACTAATTCAACAATCACAAGTCAACTATAGAATTTCTTATCTAATAACAAAAAATTATATCAAAAAGCATATGTTCACAAAGAAAATCAATATTAATAACAAAATTAGTTAACATCATCACCATCATAATAATAATATTATAAGTACAGTTCATTTGGACAAAAAAAACTCACTACACAGATGTTGTGAAAGCAACAAATTTGCTTATTTATTAATATACTCTGTTCAATTATTATTGTGCCGTACATTATTACTATATTAGGCTTATTTTTTACAATGTGTATGTTGCTGGTTTTGTAATGCAGATAATAATTTTTTTTTTATGTCTTTTGGTAGCTACCATCATTATTAAAATTACTATCATCATCATGAACTATCACACTTATCATTTTTTATTAGTATCAATATCACCGCCACCATCATCATCTCCACTATCACATCATTAACACTACCATCATCATTACCACCACCACCATCACTATTACCACTACCATCACAATCACTACCATCATCACTACCACCATCATCATCATCATCATCACCACCACCATCACCATCACCATCATCATCATCACCACCACCACTACCACTATCATCACCATCAACATTAACATCATTGCCACCACTATCATGATCGTCATCACCACCACCATTACCACCACCCTCATTTACCATCAACGCCACTTCCACCACCCTCACTCACCATCAACACCACTTCCACCATCCTCATTCATAATCATCACCACTACCACTAGTTCATCATCATCATCATCATCATCCTCATCATAATTTGATTTTAATTTATTTGGAAGCACGGAACACAAATAAACATTACAATAGTAAAACATGACTTAAAAACGTACAGAAGTCCTCGGTGGATAACCCAAAAAAACCCAATCATCATAATCAGCAGCACACTAAATAATCATATAAAAATTATTTTGAAATAAGTAAAGACAAACAGACAGTATTCAGCAAATATAAATTTTATCTTTGTTTTACATTCAATCCAAATTAATTTATTAGAATTTATTGGGAAATCTCAACATTAATTATAATTAACATAATTTCAGATTTAGATAACAATATATTGTGGATTACTGGGAAAATCAATGCTATTATAGGAACCAATGGCTGAATAACAGTACGTATAAGATTACTATTCTTCATTACTTTTTATCCAAACGAAAATAAGAATTCGAAATGAAATAAAAAATTATTAAATCCAACTGATCAAAATCTTTGTTCTGAACTTTAAATCATGGAGGCTATTTGAAACCAGGCATATTAATGACAATTCTAGAGTCTTGAGAAACTCTCTGAAGACAAGATTCTGAGTTCACACAGCAGAAGTTAATCACGTTGCCCAGTGAAGCAAGAAACTCTGGATTTCGGGATTGATTTTGGGGATAATTGATGTAAAGGAAATGAACTGGAACATAAAAAAAATCTTTCATGTCTGTGATGTAATGTTGTTGATTAAAGTATTTTTTCAAGAACAATATCTAAGTGGGGCATGATATTATTATTAGCTCGATAATAATTTGATAAAGAATTATACATAACATTTTGCAAATTAATAATGTACTGTAACGCTAGTCATGGAGGAGGGAATCCACAAAAAATAACATGAATCTGAAAATATATCCTGATTATAGATCTATTAGAAGCACATACATGTCTCTTATACACATCTAGATGTGTATAAGAGACAGTATATATAGTTTAAATCTCTTTCCTTTTTTTGTTTTATTTCTGTATAACACAGTAAATTTTGTTCCAATTTTCAATGTTGCATTTTTCCATTCCTAATTTTGCTGTAATTTTGATGTTAATCAAATTTCTGCAACGCGTGGATTTTTTTTTTTAAATACATTTGATGATGACACAATAATTGATTCAATTCTATATGTCTTTTATTTTTCATGAACTTCGGAATTTTAATATATTTTAATGTTACTTTCAATTTTTCATGTCTAGTGCTAATGCTTGAATTAAAGTTTCAAATTTTTTAACACCAGTATGTATTTTTGTAAATTTCATGTAATTTAGCCTCGGCTGTGATTTGGATGAATAAAAGAAATTGAAACTGAAAATGACAGTATTCATAATAGTAATATCAACAGCAAGAGCAATATCAGAGAATCAAAAAAACTATTAGAGAGAGCTCGTGAGTGAATAATCCAATCATCATGATAATTAGTCAAATAAACAAAACATTACTTGCAACAATTTGTTCCAGATGCTATTTTCAAATCTCAATGGACTCGGCGTGTTATACTGATTAACATCATACAGAAATCTCAGTCTTTGTTAATTGCTATACAAAAACAAGTATCTGCTTTATTAGACTAAATAAATTAACTGATGATGGATCCGCTAATTCACGCAGGCTTGCACAGGACGCCAAACAGCAACTCGTTAACAACCATGATCTCATCAACAACGATGATTTCAGCTAGAATAATCAACGGGGGGAAAGTAAGAAATTGACAAACTCTGATTGCGAGAAGAAATTGAATTATGGATCTCCATTAATGGGCAAATTCTCTATAATAGAAAGAATACTTGATTGGTCATGAACCGAGATACAAGGAATATATGAAGTAGCCGGAAGCTGAGCATAGCATAAATTGAATGCCCAGACAGTGAAAATTATTTTTTCACCTGTTATTGGCAAAATATCTTGTTATTTAATTTCGAAACCCATACAATATAAATTGTTTACAGTATCTTGTACTGCAGAAAACAAAATTATTTTACCACCAATTTCAGAAAATATCTAGGATCTAAGGCTGTGATAAATTATCGGAAAGTAGTCATTTTGTTATTTTTCATTGCGGAAACAGGACCCAAAATTTCCGATGAGAATCAGATAATTTATTGGAAACAGCTCTGAATGCAAAAAAAAAAAAAAATAACCTTCCGAATGATTTCTTGGCCTTTGCATCTTGCAAAAAAGATCAGTCACCTGCCAGGTCAACAAAATGAATATTCTGATGTTGAACAGATTGCATTGTGGTCAATAATTTTGCATGATGGGATAAAATATTTGGTGGGAATTTTAAGATAATTTATCAGAGAATTTTATCGGAGAAATTGTAAGTGCTGCGGAAACATGGCCTAAAACAATATATCAGATGCATACCAGACGGGTCTAGTGAGAAGTCCTAGTGG